ATAATTAATTGGACAGCCCCACAGTGCCGCCAAAGTGGGCAAAAATCACAAAAATTCTTTGTCTGCAATTTGAACATGTTTGGTATTTTTGTAAAGGTAATTTATTCACTAAAAAGAATCAAACAGAAATTTTCCTATAAAATAATCTATATGTCACCAGTCGACGAATTTTATACTAAGAATTTTAATAAGAGCATAGCCATGCGTAAGCTCTTCACGGAAACAAATGTCAAAAACACATTCTTTGAAATAAAATATTGGTTTGACGTTTTTTATTTTCGTATAGAACAGTGATTCCCAAGGTTGGGTCCACGGGACACTCGACGGGGGTCTACGATGGCGTGAAAAAATAGGGGGGTCCATGAGTTGTAAGTGGGGGTCCACAAATAGCCTCCTTATTTAACTTTAATTTTTTTGAGTGGTGTATGCACTTACCGTTACTTTGTGTTTCCATACGTGGGAAAGGCCGCTTGCAGACTAAAAAGAACCGGATGTTGGTATAACACTGAGTGGGGCGCGGCGGAAATTTGCTGGCGGCAGAGATTTAAGCACTTGTGTAAATGGTTGCCACTCGCCAACATTTTTTTCTACCAAAATCTCTTAAGAAAAGATACCAAATCTTCACTACCAAAATCTTCACTTCTTCACTGAGAAAAAAATATACTGAATAACAATGCTATATTTCATAGCAAATATGTATATACTTACAGCCTGATTCTGTGCACTTAATAAATTCAATATTTTTCAGCCCCTTTCCTAAATTTTGATCAAGTTCAGGTGTTGAAAGCCCACCTAGATAAATTACCTTTAGTTTTATCAAGTTATGCACAGAATGCCGACAAGTTTGAAACTTGATAAAAATCTTGATTGTTTGTCAACTTTCTGTTAAATTGTCAAGTGCACAGAATTAGGCTGTTAGAGTGACGAAAGCCCAACAAGAAGCACACAATTTATGATACCATATGCCAATCGAATAATTAATTTACACCCTTATTCTAGAAACCAACTTTTCTTAATTCGTAATTCGTAGCTACGTTACGAAAACCGAAAAATCCACATGCTGCAACCCTTGCGGAAACATGCGCAGCATTGCCAGCTATCAGTTGTTTTTCGAAGACAGCTGTATGAAGAAAACAAGGCGGAAAGGAATTTAAACAAAAACACCTATCTATAGTAAAACTAGCTTTTTCCCGCAGCTTCGCCCGCGTGATGTTTGGTTTAACGTAATTTTAAATGTAACAAAGAAAGAAACAAATCATTTCACCGCATAAATATAACAACTTTTATTAATATAAGTTAAGCAATTTAAATCAATGACATCTACTGCAATACTATTCGTAAACAACGTTTTGGGACTTATTGTATTGGGCGTGTATATTAGGGTGACCGTATCTCATAGAGGTGGAAAAAATGTTGGAATTTTGTTCGTCTGGACCCCAGTTTCTTCTTCGTTTTGTCGGTTCATGTTTGCAAGTACCTTTTGCGCCTTAATTTCTGCAGCTCGAGACATCTTGAGATCCACTCCAACAATGGACCCTGGACGGCCCTTCTGCCTCTGTTTCACAAGAAATGTCGTATCTTCTTCCGATTTCATCAGAGCCAAGGGATCTCGTTGAGCAATATCAAAGAGATCATCCAACTTTTCAACAAACTGTTTAGATTTGCTCTTGACCGTTTCCTAGTTGCATGTTGTTTTGTATTACTGCGAAATGTATACACAATATTATACAAATGCAAAGCAGCATGCAACTTGGAACTCGCCCTATACATATGTAGATATGTAGATGTTTGAAATAATTTTCATTTATAATACTGTGCTAAACAAATTTTCTTAACATATATTTACATAGCCAAATAGTGATAAATTCGGGCAAATGTTTGCGGCAGAGAACGAATCAGTCAGATGATATTCATTCGTATATAACGAATGAAAAGAATATAATTACCTTTGAAGTTAATTAGAACGCAAACAAAATTAAAAAATACATTCTTCCGAATGAAAACAAAAAAAAAACAATCGTCGCCAGGCAACGAACACAAATACTTGTTATAAAATTCGTTCACCGATCGCAAATACAAATGAAATGAATTAATTTGAATCATTTGAAAACGAATTTTTCTGAACCCTGCAACATTAGTTTTCTTTTATTTGCCCATGATGCAATAATGAAAGGTGTTATACGTTGGCAACTTCTGGCTCTAATCCGCCATCTTGAACTACCTTAGGAGAAACTGTGTTATTTCTTTGCTATTTTCACTGAACATTTCCCAAAATATTAGAAAAAAAATTCTGAACAAGCTACATTGATTCAATTTTCGTTGTTCGTTTTGTTCTTATTCGCTGACATTTGTTTTCCAATTGCGTGAAATTTGGTAAGTATTGTAATAAAACCGAATTATTTTACAAATAAATTATAATTTTGCATTTATTAGGTCATTTCCTTAGTGTTTCGCTGACCGACCTGTGCTGGTATTGTGATTAAGAGCTAATACACGTAAGTTGCAACATATTATTTTGACTTTATTGATGAACCATTCCATTTGAGCTCTTTGCTATTTAAAACCTAATGAACCATTTATTCGCAGATTTTTCGGACGATTCTCCTGTGCTGCGTTCCTGCTCCGCCTGTATATTGCTCCGCCCGTATTTTATAGTGTTGCGTTCCTGTTGCGCCTTTGCATTAGTGTGTGCGTTGTGATTTAGACACGTTGAAGTAAGTTGAAACCAGGTTCTCGTTTGTTAAAAACCTAAAAAACCATTTATTTGCAGATTTTTTGTATGCTTCTGCTGTGCTGCGTTCCTGCTCCACCCGTGTATTAGATTGCTGCGTTCCTGTTAACATACATATCGTCGCTTAAAGTACAAAACCGCGTAACTGACATTTGCTGCTAAAAATTGGATTCGCTCACACACGTTTTTGGATCAATCCTTATCCATTCTTCCTGAAATATACTAGCCAAAAATGCGATTGCTTTTTACAAAAAGATAACCATTTTGAAATATGAGTGTTTTTACTCTCTAGAAATTAATTTATGCAACCTCGCATACGTGGGTTTGCATTATCTCTATACGCGGTTTTGCAATTTATTGATACATGGTTTTGTACTTTAAACGACGATATGTATGTAGATGTATGTACATGTATATCACATATATTGACTTAGATATGTATACACAATTAATGGTGTACATAAATTTTTTTATATTGAAACTAGATATGTATATAGTACATATTTTATTATTATTAGTCGGTTCAAAAAAGTCCTATCTCAAATAAAAATACTTCGAAAATGTGCTGAGATAGGGTGTTTTTGAACCGAGTTCCGAGATAGGGCATTTTTCAATCAAATTCTAAAATAGGGCGTTTTTCAGCCAAATTTTGAAATAGGGCGTTGAAAAGCTTTCTGATATCGGGCGTTTTCGACCTGGCTGCCGAGATAGGTCGATCTTCTACTCAGCCATCGATATATGGTCGAAGTTTTCGTTATATAGAAGACGATTAAACACGATTTGTTTTTAATCGATTCTAAAAAAACTAAGGTAATTTTTAGCCACTTCAAACTTGCATATAATTAGACTAAAATTGAAGGGGCTATAAAACTGAGTGCTCAAAAAAATTCTAACACTTCTGAGAAAAAAGTTTGAATTTTGGTTGAAAATTTGTTGTATTTTTTGTAGTTTTCTACGAAGTTTTAAAATTCGGTTTATATGAGTTTTGTTAGAAATTCAACTTTACTTTTGTTGCAAATTCTTAGCAATAAATAAATTAACATGAGAGGGAAATTCCGGTAAAAAAAATCCTCCATCCCAGTCCTTAGAACTTATTAATTTATCTTCTCCATGCCCTCAGGCATTGGAGCCTCCGATTTCTAAAGCCATATCCACTAGGTCTACTTCAAAAAATAGTCAAACCGTTGATTTAACAGTGTTGCCATCAACATCTCAAGCTCCACTGTCTAACTTAGTTCCTCCGAATAATTCGGAGCCCCGCACATCAGACATCATTACCAAAAAGTTGGTTGTAATTCCTCCGAGAAGATCAATCTTTGTCTCTAGATTTGCTAAAGATACTTCTTCGGATGATATAAAGTCATACATATCGACTAAAATTAGAACTAAAGATGTATTTATTCGTAAATTTAATTTTAAATACGATCGCGATATTTCATCTTTTAAAATTGATGTAGCTTCCGAAGATTTTGATTCACTACTAAATAGTTCATTTTGGCCGACCGGGGCGTTTGTTCGCGAGTTTGAGTATAAACCTAATAAAAGTAATAATAACGTAGCTAAAATTTCTAATCTTAATTCTGATTCAAAAAACTAACTCGCAAGTCTAATTTAAGTATTTACTATCAAAACGTTAGAGGTTTGAATACCAAATTAACTGACTTATATTTAAAAGGTTTTGACTGCAATTATAATATTATTTCCTTGACCGAAACATGGATCAAACCTCATATTTTTAATTCCGAAATTCTTCCAAATGAATATCAAATATACAGGAGTGACCGCGTGGGCAGAATCGGCGGTGGTGTTCTTTTTGCGGTGCATTCATCGATACCATCCGAGGAAGTTAGTCTTCCTGTCATTGAATATACCGAATTTAAATGTATACGTGTACAGGCTGGAAAGACTTATATTTATTTAGCTCTTTGCTACATCCCTCCTAATTCTGCCGTATCGGTATATATGCAGCTAGTTTCTTTACTTGAGACCGTAAATGCAATGCTTACGGCATCCGATTCTATGATTGTTTTGGGCGATTTAAATCTGCCACATATTTCATGGAACATCATTGACACCGATGTTGTACCAGTTTCATCTAGAGATAGTTACAATGTATTTCTGGAGGAAATGGCTGAACTATGCCTCAAACAAATAAATATATGTCCAAATAAGTTTGGAAAGGTCTTGGATCTCGTTTACGTTGATGATGTTCCGAAGGCCTCTATTAATCGGTGTGATCCCCTAGTTTTGCCGGAAGATGCATACCATCCTGCTCTTGAGTTAAACTACGAAATCATAAATGAAATACATAATAATAAGTCAAGTTCAAGTACTAGATATGTTTTTGCGAAAGCAAATTTCAGGAAAATTAACAAAGAACTTTCAAAGTTATCTTGGCCAATATATAGAGATGACGTGGAGCGTAGCGTTGAGCACTTTGATGATACTGTTTTCAATTTGTTTCGAAAGTATGTGCCAATACGTAATATTGTTCATGAAGAACCAATACAATTATGGTTCACTAAAGAGCTTAAAAAATTGAAAAATAAAAAGTCGCACTCTTTTAAACTGTATAAAAGAACGGGCTTACACAGTGATTACCTAAGGTACTCAGTTTTGCGGCATAGCTACTTTGCATTAAATAAGAAATGTTATAATTCATATTTATGTAAAATTAAGAGGAATTTAATTAACAATCCTAAATCATTTTATGGTTTCGTAAATTCAAAGCGTAAGGCACATGGTTTTCCGTCCGCTATGCATTATCGCAACACTGTATCTAGCGACAGCCAACTCATTGCCAACATGTTTGCTCGGTTCTTTAGGTCCAATTATTCTGTAGACTTCCCTATAAGTGGAGACTATCCGTACGAGCTTTGTCCAATCAACTCTGCTTATATTCCAGTAATATCTTCCGATGAAGTTTTACACTCTTTAAAAACCTTAAAAGCGTCATTTAGGCCTGGACCTGATCATATTCCGACCTGTTTTCTTAAAAACTGCGCTGAGAACATTTGCGAGCCTTTAACAACTCTATTCAATTTGTCAATTAAACATGGCGTTTTTCCGTCAGCCTGGAAGGAGTCTTTCATAATACCACTTCACAAAAACGGCAGCAGGTCGTCTATAGAAAACTATCGAGGCATAGCGAAACTCTCCGCTATCCCCAAATTATTCGAAGCAATTATTGTTAACCAGCTGACATATTCTATATCTTCTTCAATTACACAATCTCAACACGGGTTTTCTAAAGGAAAATCTACTATTACTAATTTATTGGAGTTTACAACTCATGTCTCAAACGGTTTTAGAGAAAATGCTCATACCGACGTAATTTACACCGATTTCAGTAAAGCTTTTGACAAAGTATGTCACTCGTTACTCATCCGTAAACTCGACCTAATCGGCCTTCAGCCCAGTCTCCTTCAATGGATCTCATCTTACCTCTCTGATAGAACACAAAGAGTTATTGTTAATAATTGTTCTTCCAACATCATTAAAGTTTCTTCAGGAGTTCCTCAGGGAAGCCACCTTGGTCCGATTCTGTTCCTGATATTCATTAATGATATTTCTTCTATAATAAAACATTCAAAAATTTTAATGTATGCCGATGATGTGAAACTTTTTAAAACATTGTCCTCTATCGAAGAAAGGTCTTTGTTACAAGCGGATCTGAACAACGTGGTTAGTTGGTGTAATACAAACTATATGCCACTAAACCTTCAAAAATGTAAAGTTATGTGTTTCTCTCGGAGGGCTGTTCAACCAGCTGTTTATTCAATATCAAATTATAATCTGGAGCAGGTATCCAATTTTGTCGATCTTGGTATCACAATGGATTCCAAACTCAATTTCAACCATCATATTAATCTTACAGTCAATAAAGCCAAAGGCGTTTTTGCATTTGTAAGGCGATGGTCAAAAGAGTTCAAAGATCCTTATGTTACAAAAGCTCTTTTTACCAGTTTAGTTAGACCTATACTAGAATACGGATCTATTGTTTGAAATCCCCGCTACCAAGTTCATTCAGAAAGGATTGAATCAATTCAAAAACAATTCTTGCTTTTTGCATTGCGTAATTTTAACTGGGATTCAGATTACAATCTCCCCCCTTACACAAGTCGTCTAAAGCTCATAAATTTGCCTACACTCGCAAGTCGTAGAGAAATGCTGGGTATAATATTTATCGTAAAATTAATGACAGGCTTGATTAATAGCCCGGCCCTCCTGGCTGAGGTAAATTTTAATATTCCTTCTCGAGTGTCAAGACACTTTCGACCTCTATTTTTAAAGCCATGCAAAACTAATTTTGAACTAAACGAATCATTCCGTGGTTTATGTCAAGATTTTAACTGTCATTACAGCACGTTTGACGTATCGGACTCGATTTTTACTATAAAGAAAACTATTATTTCCACTCTCAATAATTGAAATACTATCTTTAGCATATCCAATCAGCTGATGAATTTGATTCTGTAGCTGAATAGTTTTAGATCTCGACACTTAACAAACTCCTGTTTCCACTACTCGGCACGAAAAAACTAAAAAAAAAAAAAGGTTCCGTACGTCATGCGGACTGCGCCCCTCGTGTCGGTTGGGCGGGAATGGAGGGTAAAAAGCCGTTGGGATTAATTAATTAATTAAAAAAAATAATATTACTTTGAAATGGGGTTGCTATTGATATGACCGATACTGTATGTATATAATAAATTTTGTACAATTAAAAAAGTGGATTTACTAAAATGAACACAACGTATTAATTACAAATTCTGAAATATGTCGTCAATTTCAAAAACAAATAAATAAAACTTTAAAAAGTAGTCAATGCTTGCTGTATGACACGAACTTGGATATACGTGGACTTGGGTAATGTATAATTCCTTATATGATTCCTCAAAGTATCCCTTGTATAACACTGTGGAACACAAAAAAACCTTAGTGCGACTATATCAGGTTTGATAGCTGTTGGCCATACCAATAATGCCTCATACTAAGATTTACTAGATCAATTCGTGTTCTCCGAGAAAAAAAATTTTCACGATCCAAAAATCTGAAAAATTGTTTTTCTCCAAAGTTTGAACATTTATCGTTTTTGGCCTATATTTTGTTGAAAATACCATACAAAGCAAATATAGGGCAAAAAACAAAGAATTTTCAAAATTTTGAGAAAAGAATTTGGCGGCTATACTCAGATTTTTTAATCGTGAAATTTTTTTTTCTCGAGAACACGAATTGATCAAGTAAAACTGAGCATGAGGCATTATTGGTATGGTCAACAGCTATGAAACCTGATATATGCGCACAAGAAGCCTATATGAAAGAGGGGGACAAAAGATCACACGTAAATGAATTCCTCTTTTTGGCCTGTACAATATAAGGGACACATTTCAAATT